GAAAGGAAGAGATAGTGACACCCCTGAGCTGGGAATGCCTCCCTTTCATTATTATCATTTTGGATCAGTGTAGTGATTCCTCTTTTATTGCAGGGTTCCACTTCTCCTTAGGGCAGAGGAGCACCTATCAGACAGACCCTCCTACAGAAAACCAGATTAAAAACTCCAACCAAAATATAAAACAAATTTGCTTAAGTCACTAGAGAGAAACTAAAAGTTGACACTTAAAAGATAGGAATATCACAGGGTGAGTTTCCCATTTTTTACAGCTCTTTGCCCAAGGACAGGCCCCACTTGGTGCCATGAGGGGTAGAAGTCTTACTGGCTTAAAGAACCAGAGGACAGAGTTTGGTGCAAACACAGAAGTTAGAAAGTGAGAGGCAAGAGCCATAAAGGAGAATCCTCAAATTCTGCACATAAAGTCTGCCCAAATCTCTTTGTGACCTCTGAACTATGCAGGTGTGGGGCAAACTCCAAGTAATCCACCTAAGGTTAAAAGAACTAACAGATATCAACTGACTATGGCATGGAATATCAGAGTTTGGAATTTGTGTTCATCCAAGTTAATTGCCTACTAAAACAAACTAGCAAACAAACAAAAAAATCAATATTCTTTAGAGGAACATAACAGAATTCAAGATCTCTCCAACATTTGATCAAAATATCCAGAATACAATCCAAAATTACAAGACATAAAAATAAACAGGAAAACATGATCCATACCAAATAAAAAAGTAATCAATGGAGACCAACCTTGTGATGACCTACAGGGTGAAATTTTCAAAGATTTTCAAATAGCAAACACAGGTATAGATGAAAATATTTTTATAATGAATGAGCAAATAGAAAATTTCCGCAGTGAATATAAACTATAAAAAAGAACCAAATGGAAATTGTAGAACTGTAAAATACAGTGTCTGAAATTTGAAAACAAAATATACTGGATATACCTAAAAGCAGATTGGTGATAACAGAAGAATCAGTGAATGAGAATAGAGGTTAATAGATACTACCAATCTGAAGAATGGAAAGAAAAAAAGTATTTAAAAAAATGAATAGAGCCTCAAGGATCTGTGGGGACAATATCAAAGGTCTAATATACATGAAGTTGGAGTTACAGAAGGAAAAAGAGATTGGTACAGAAAAACTATTTGAAGAAATAATGACTGAAATTTTCCAAAATTTTGATGAAAAATGTAGATTTATAGATTCAAAAGCTCAATGAACCATAGCAGAATAAATATAAAGAGAGCCACACCTAGGCACATTATAGTTAAACTGTTATTAAAAAAAAAAAAAAGATAATTTGAAAGCAGCAAGAGAAAAAGGACACATTTCACATAGGGGAACAATGTTAAAAAATAACAGCTGTCTTCTCATCAAAAACAATTGAGACCAGAAGACAGTAAAACAACATTTTTAAGTATTGAAAGAAAAAAAATTGTCAACCAAGAATTCTATATCTAGCAAAAATATTCTTCAAGAATGAAGGTAAAATAAAGACATTTTCAGGTTTTAAAAATCTAAGAGAATTTCTCACCAGCAGACCTGCACCACCAGACCTACTATAAGAAGTTTTTTTTTAGATGGAAGGGAAGCCATAACAAATGGAAACACAGATCTCAGGAAAGAAGGAAGAGCACTGGATATAGTAACTATGTGAGTAACTATATTACCATTGTGGTCGAGTCAATTCCAACTCATAGCAACCCTATAGGATAGAGTAGATCTGCCCCATAGAGTTTCCAAGGAGCGGCTAGTGGATTTGAACTGCCGACCTTTTGGTTACCCACTATGCAACCAGGGCTCCAGGTAACTATATAAGACTATTTTAAATACCTTAAAATATATATGACTATTTAAAGCAAAAATTATTGCAATATTCTTACATTTCACGTGAAGAGATAAGCAATATTAACTCTCAGCAGACTCAAAAGTTAAGGACATGTATATTGTAATTCTAGAATAACCATGAAAAAATAATGTGAAGAAGTATAATTAAACGATCAATAGAATAAATAAAAGGTTTATTAGAATAAATAAAAGGTCAGTAGATACAGGGCAGTTTGAGAAAATATTTAATTAACCCAAAAAGAGGCAGAAAATGAAAAACAGAGAAAAAAAAATAGATGGGAGAAATAGAAAATAAACAGTAAAATGGTTAACCTAAATCCAAATCAATTATCCAATAAATATTAATGGACTAAATATTCCAATTAAAAGGCAGAAATTATGAGAATCTGAGAAATCAACAAAAAAAAAGCAAGACCCAACTATACATTGTTTACAGAAGGCACCCTTCAAATATAAAACACAGATAGGTTAAACTTAAAAGATGGAAAAATATATGCCATACAAACAGTAAACAACATTGATATCAGGACAAGAAATATTACCCGAAATAAAGAGGGACATTTCATAATGATAAAAGACTCAGTTACTCAGGGAGACATAGCAATCATAAACGCATATGTACCTAAAACAGAGCTTCAAAATATACTAAGGAAAAACTGATATAAATAAAAGGAGAACTAGACAAATAGTTCTTAATAATTAATAGAACAACTATATAAGAGATCAGTAAGGACAAAGATAACCTGAACAATACTATCAAAATATTTTGCCTAATATTTATAAAACACTACCCTCGACAAGGGTCGTTGATGGCACAGAGGTTAAGAGCTTGGGTGCTAACCAAAATCTTGGTGGTTTGAATCCACCAGCTGCTCCTTGGAAACCCTATGGGGCAGTTCTTCTCTGTCTTTTAGGGTTGCTATGAGTCGGAATCAACTCAACAGCCAAGGGGCAGGGGAGACCCCCAACAAATGCGCAATACACATACTTTAATGCCGCAAGGTGTAGTGGATCCCTCAAGTTCTTGCTAAAGTGGAATGAAGGTCCACCTTGTCCCCTGTATTTGATGCTTTTATGTTTAATGGTAAAACATTCAGAATGGAATAGAGAGGGGGCTGATTCGAGGGATATTAGTAAGTTTTATGAAAAGGAAAAATGGGTTAATAAAGCCTTAGAATAATATCTGGCACTTAGAAACCTCTCCACTAGTGTTGGTTAATGTTACTATGACTACCTGAAAGTACTAGAGAGAGGAGAGCTGGCTGGCATTAGGATAACAGGGTGGAGGAATGTCCTGAAGACTGGATTACAGGGAGAATTTTTCCTCCTGTGTAGGGAGAAAGGAGGACCATGCTGGTGTCACAAGAGTGACTCCTTTCGAAGTAAAACACCTGCAGGCTGATAAAGAACTATAAGAATGTATAGACTGCAGGCACTTCCAGCCCTAGTTTCTTCCAAGCTGACTGCTAGTACCCTCCTCCCAGGAGATAAATGTGATAACTGTTATACCCGGGGGTGACTGGGATTTTTTTTTTTTTTTTTTTTTTTTTTTTGAGTCATTACATGTTGTTGGGGCATGAGGGACTGGGAATGGGGAGGAGGAAAGAGGTAGCCAGATGGAACACGGGGTAGCTGCTTGGCTTGGGGCACACAGAATCTATCCCCACAGAGAGGGTCGGAACTGTGGTCCAGTGTCCTCAGCAGTAAGGTAAGAATTCTGTGCTTGCCACTGGACTAAATCAAAAGCTAAGACGTTTCCTGAACACAACCAAACACTTTGTGGGACAGTGTAGCAGGGGCAGGAATCTGGGGACCATGGTTTCAGAGGACATCTAGGTCAATTGTCATAACAAGTTTATTAAGAAAATGTTCTGTATCCCACTTTGGTGAGTGGCATCTGGGGTCTTAAAAGCTAGTGAGCGGCCATCTAAGGTGCATAATTGGTCCTAACCTACCTGGAGCAAAGAAGAATGAAGAACACCAAAGACACAAGGAAAATATTAGCCCAAAAGACAAAAGGAGCCACATAAAGCAGATACTCCATCAGCCTGAGACCAGGAGAACTAGATAGTGTCCAGCTACCACCAATGACCGCCCTGACAGGGAACACAACAGAGAGTCCCTGACGATGCAGGAGAAAAGTAGGGTGCAGAACTCAAATTCTAGTAAAAAGACCAGACTCGATGGTCTGACTGAGACTGGAAGAACCCCAGAAGACATGGCCCCCAGATTCTCCGTTAATCCAGAACTAAAACTATTCCTGAAGCCAACTCTTCAGACAAAGAACAGACTGGACTATAAGACATAAAATGATGCTCGTGAACAGTGTGCTTCTTAGTTCAAGTAGATACACAAGACTAAATTGGCAGCTCCTGTCCGGAGGCAAGATGAGAAGGCAGAAAGTAATAGGAGCTGGTTGAATGGACAGGGGAAATCTGGGGTGGAAAGGAGGAGTGTGCTGTCACATTATAGGGATAGCAACTAGGGTCACATAACAACGTGTGTATAAATGTTTGTATGAGAAACTAACTTGAGCTGTAAACGTTCACCTAAAGCACAATAAAAAAGTAAATAAATAAATTCTGTGCTTGGAGGAGCTGGGAAAACAGGTGGGACCACTAACCATGGGTAGTCACCATGCAGGTCCAGATTGCTCCTCCCACTCCACAGAGCAAACCACAGTCCATACCTCCCACATTCACACACACACAGACACACTCCTCACCCTGAGAACCAATGAGGTCATTTGCATGCGAATTGAATATGCTGTGTTGGAGCATGTTATTGAATATAGTTGCTGTTACAATTGTGGGAAGGGGCCAGGAAGCCTTGGCAGGCCTGTCAGGAAGGGTAAGACTGCACATGACTCTTGAGATGGTGGGCATCTTGGGCTGTGGAGCACACCTGCCATCTTAGCTATGCTGGGTCCTGGGGACAAGCAGAGGTGGCCTGCCTGGAGGACCAGGGAGGTCACCACTCCCTGGAGAAGGGAAGTTTCTCCCAGCCCTTCTGGTTAGAAATGAAGTCCTATAAGTGCTTTTCTCCCCTCTATAAACGCCTGTAAACCCACAAAACATTTGTCATGCCCGACGAAGGCCCAAACATCTGGCCAGTGTCATGCTGAAAAGAAAAAAGAACACTATTACCAAGGTGTCAGGGAGGACCACTGTGGGGCAGCAGGAGTACTGGAGCACCTGGCCCATTTTCCAGATGGAGAGTGGCACAACCACAAGAAGCAGCATGAAGCCAACAAATGCAAACAGGGCCAGTGCCAGGGGGAGAGCCTCTCCTGGAAACAAAAAGATAAGAAACGCTTAGGAGACAACAATGGAGACAGAATCTACAGTTCTGGGCCTCCTCAGTTTCCTGGAGTTGGCTGTACACATTGGCCAAGATAGCAGATGCCAACATTCTGAGATTTCATCTGTGCCCTAGTGATTAAAATTACCACCATTAAAACCATTTGTCTAAAATCTAGACCAAGGGCTGGTTTCCAGAAAGCCCCAAGGAAGATTCAAATCCTTTTCTCAGGAAGGGAGACGCATCACTTGTTAAGCAACCAGCCGTGTTAGCGTGTTCCCTGGCACTGCTACCAGGAGGATGGCACATTGCCAGCCCCCAGGCAGGATGCGAGGGAGGTGCTAAAAGAGAACAGCACAGAAGGGTGATAACTGAAAACAGAGCATACTTCACAATTTGCTCCTGGCATTGATCCCTATTATGGAGGAAAATACTGAGTTGAGAAAACAGTCACACAATAACTGTTATATATCAAGCACCTACTATGTGTACTGGGGCTACTAACGCTTATGGGCACTGAGCCAGGAGCTAGACGGGTATCCTTCTGTTCTTCACAACAGGTGGGAATATGCCTGCTTTCATGGAGGCGGAAATCAACGTGTAGAATCGTTAAGCGACTTACCCAAGGTAGAGCTGGCAACAAAACCCATATATGCATGGGAAACAGCAGTGGAAAGGAGAGTTTTCAATGTATGTCTTACACTTTTTTGGGGAACCATATGAATTTACTAAATATTCAAAATAATAATTAGAATTGTTAATGACTAAAAGATTATACAAAAAATGTAAATAATGGTGTTTGAGTAGCTGGATCATGGGGTGTGGGTGTTTTGTTTTGTTTTCAAATATTGTAGACCATAAAGAATTCAAGGATTAAGTCAAACAAAAGAATTCTATAGACTCTCCATAATGTCCCTTCCAGACAAAAGAAGCTGTGATATAAAATAGGGTGCCTCCTTACCAGGTCTGAATCTCTGATGTCCCAGACTGCTCTCCTACAGCCCCCGCTGTTCACAGACAGTGACCGTCTGGTAAACCAGCCTTGACACATCTAGCCCCAGGCCCAGAAAGCTTTCAGGGGAAAGTGCTCCAGAGGGCTGCTTAAGTGACTCCTCACCCAGCCCTAAGGTGTACTCCTGCCTCAGGGGGAATTAGGGTTAAGCACACTTTCCCCTCACCACAGGAACCCACCCAGCCTGAGGACAGGTCAGTGAGACCAAGGGAAGACCCAGAACCAAAAGATTCCAGCAGATATCCACACTCCCACCTGGAGGAGCTGCCACCTGTTCAGGGCTCCAGGGAACCTGCCTGTCCTTACCTTGCATCTCGACACATTCTGCCTGACCGAAGGCACTGCGCCTCTCGATGGCCTTCACGAATGTCTGGGCCTTCACACAGTACCTGGCCGCTGGCTCCATGGTTTCCAGGTGCACTGGAATGCCCCCACTCTTTACCACTTTGACATATTCCTTTGGGAGACCAGGAAACACAGTGATACCCTGAGGGAGGTGGGACAGGAAAGGGTGAGAAGCGCCAGGGTAGAAGAGCTGCAGATCTATCCTTTCCAGGATGCTTCCAGGAACGTTCCTTCTCACTCCTTGACTTATATTTATCAAGCACCTACCATGAGCCACATGCTGTTGTAGGCACTGGGACACAGCAATGAACAAAACAGACAAAATTCCTGCCCTCATGGAGGTCACATGGCAGAAGATGGACAATATATAAACACATGTTGGGTGGTGATAAGTGCTATGAAGAAAATGAAGCAGGGCAAGGGAATAGAGAGCGATGGGAGGCATTATTGTAAACAGGGTCGTTAGGGAAGTCCTCTCTGACAGGGTAACATTTGGGCAGAATCCTGAAGGTGAAAACCCTGACTGAGTCAGGGGGCTTGGCATGACCACATGGTCAGGGGCATAAGTGCACAAAAGTGACAAAGCTGGTGAGCACAGTGCCCTGTCTCTCATCCATCTGTCCACCCCTCCACCTACACCCCACACCCCAAGGTCTGTGATCCAGGTCTGATCCTGTGAAGGCTTGTCTGGGCCAGGCCCAGATGACTCAGGGTACATACTCCTTTCTCAGCATGAGCCATGCCAGTTGCCAAGGGTGGAGAATCTGAGGAAGCTTCATGCACCCTCATGCCCAGGTCCTGACCTGTCTCCATTCCACTCCATTGGCCTGGTTGGCAATGCATGTCCTACCACTGGGCCCTGACCCAGCAGGGAAGGCATCAAATGGATAAATACTAGAAATCAGCATCAGTACCTACCTCACCTGCCTCTACTTAGAGCCCCTGTTGAATGGGTGGTGGAGCACATGGTGGCACCCTAGACACTGCTATGAAATCAGGATACCCCTGACATGAAAAGGATCCAATCAGAGGCCAGCAACCTGCAACCTGTAACCCATGAGGCATGATAACATAAGCAGGACCAACTAGATCCCTCTCCTAGGAATTCAGTCTTGGGAAGCTGGGACTAGAAGCAAGGACAAAAAAGAGAGTACACGATGAAGGGAATCAGGCCTGAGAGGTCTTGAAGGACAGGGAGCCATAGCCATAGGCATGTGCAGAAAGGAGTGATGAGGGAGCAGACCTGTGAGTAAGCAAGGCAGAGGGTGTGCAATGGAGATGACCCACCAGAAGGAAGCAAGGCCTCCACAGGTGAGGTCCCTGGGTAAGGGAGGCTGTGCTGCAACCTGGTTCTGTGCCAGCTCTGGTCATAGATTCTGTGGCAGCCCCTATTGATCCATATAAATCCTTATAATAAAGCCTATTTGTCCTTCTGCTGTCTTGAGTGGGCCCCTAGGCCTTGTCACCTTGAGCAGAAGCTCCACAGGTCTGATTGTCCCCTGGTTCCTGCTCAGGCTCCACCCCTCTGTGAGGGTTGATCTCCTACCCCACCCCAGCCCACAACAGCCTTCCCACAGGGGAGGACAGCATCCCATCTAGGCATTCCAGGGTCCTACCCGCTCACAATTAGACAGATTTATTCATAAGCCATCTCCCAGCCTGCCTCTTACTTTTACACCCTGCCCAGATACACACCCTCAAGAGGCTTGTTCCAGCCTCATATGCTTTTGAAATTTTCTGGTTGATCTGGAACAACCTGGTCTACTGCCCCTAAACATTCCAGGGAGGGCAGCTGAGAAGACCAGTTGATGAGGGAGAAGAAATGCATTGAAAAAATGTTGTAGATTCAACCAGGTTAGAGTTTAGGGCAAGAAGACATCCCCACACTTCAGCAAATCTGGCCTAAAAAGGCTCCCAGCCAAGACCTGAGATGGACCAAGGCTGTTCTTTAAAGAAGAGCCTGCTGGGATTGTTGACATACTCTCATCTCTCCTTTCCCATAAGTCACCCACTCCTGCTCATCCTCAGACCACCCCAGGCACTGAGCCTGCAGGGGCCAGCTTGCCTTGCCCACCCTCCAGAGTCTGTCTGTGCCCCTTTCTCCAAAGCCTCAGAAAAACAGAAGCCTGGCTCAAAGGCCAGGGCTAGAAGTCTCACCTTGGCACCGGGCTTGCTCCTCCAGTAGGCCACGTAGAACTCAAACTGAGGCCCCAGCTCTTCCAGCTCAATAACCAGGTGGAAGCCATCTTTGGTGACCTCTATCTTGGGTGGGGTAAGGATGGCTGTTGACAAGACAAGAGGAGAATCAAAGCCAGCCCCAGGTAGGACTGATTTCCCTGGAACATGATAACTAAGTCATTGGTGGAAACACACCAGGCCCTATGGAGAAAGGATAGGGTTGGCTGTAGCTCCACAGCATGTGGAAGCATGAATATAAATACTCTCCTGTACTCAGCAGGTACCCAGTAATTGCTTTTTTAATGATGGATGAATGAATGAAAAGAAAAAAAGACTTACTGTAATTCCCTTTTGCCACCCCTTGTCTACAATAAAGCCTTCTGTTCCTTTCCTTGGAGGCCATATACAGAAACTGACTAAATACTCAGGGAAACAGTCTTTCTTTCAGTTTTAAAATTTTATAATCCGTGATCCTCTTTTTACTTTTCCTAGAGAAATTGTTCCTCACCTTGGCTCATCTAAGTGAGCAGGTGCTGTTTCTTGCTTGTCAAATACCTACGGGAACTTGGGTCTATACTGATCACAGCCATGGCCCCTTTGCCCCATACCTGTAGGGAGCACATATATTCCTTTAGCTGACACAGGTCAGTGACATGTACTGGTTGCTGATGACTTTCAAAAATCAGCAAATCAGCAGCCTATGAATGGTCATTCTATTCTCAGGCCAAGGATTCTTCATCTCATATTCTGACTAGAAGCTGTTGGCACATCAAAGGGTTTTACAAATTCCAGTAATCAACTCTGGAAATTACAGCATGCACATAAGCACCATCTTTCACACGGATTCCAAACAGAGAGGACAACAGCCCCTGTGGATACATTCCCATCAGCAGGCCAAGAACAGAAGGGCCCCCACAGGCATTCTCTTTACCCTGGATACTGATGACAGATCCATGCTTGCCTCTCAGATCCAAATACTGCAGAAGAGCCACCCCAGATTGCTAGCCTTGGCTTGGGAAGTAGGGTGGGGAGTGTTTTGGGCTAGATCCCACTGCACTGGGATCAGTAAACACTTGGAAGATAGGCAGTTCCTGGACGGAGTTTTCAGAGACCAACACGTTCCCCCCTCGCCTTCCTCATTAGGGGAAGATGTGTGCCTAGGCCTTGTCACCTTGGACAGGAGCCTGGATAGGCAACAGGAAGACTTGGGAAGTCAGGGACCATCTGTGCAAAACATACTCAGTTCAGAAGCTTCGTGTTACCACACAGCACTGGTGGAACTACCTCTGAAACACTTCTAGAAGGAAAAGAGATCTTTGACTGTTCCATTTTTTAGTCTAATATAGCTAGAATTGGGTCCTCTGATCTTCATCTTTATTGAGACTAGAACTAGAAAAAATGATCTAAAGCTTCAGTTCAGAGACTTTCTGGACAGTGTTGCGGTAGGAACCTCTGTCCTATGCACTCTACAGACTTATCTCATTTAATCCCCACCCGCACCCCTCAGCATGCTTAATGAGGTAAATGCCATTCCTCTTGTACAGATGATGTAACTGAGCCTCAGAGAAGGTTAAGGGACTTCCCAGAGGACACAATTAACAGCCAGAATTTGAGCTCATGTCTATGTTTCCAGCCACCCCTGTGTAGTTTGTTTAGTCCAGGGCTTTGAACGAATTTCGTTCTGGTTGGACCCCCTGGTGATAATTTGCATTTCTAACAAGTTCCCAGGAAGTTAGAGAACTTAGAAATGCAAATTCTCAGCAGGGAACTTGTTAGAAATGCTAATTATCACCAGTGGGTCGAACCTGAAGGAACCAATTTGAAGCCCTGGTTTAGTCTCTGTAGTAATGGATCTCAACCACAGCTGTACATGAGATTGACCTGGGAGATTTTTTTAACTCCCAATAAGCAAGTCACACACAGATGATTTAAATCAGACTCGCTGGGGGTGGGTACCAGACATCAGTGGAATTTAAAGCTCCTAAGGTACCTCCAATGTACACTCAAGATTGAGAACCTCTGCTCTCAACAAGGCTTCTTTAAGAGTAGGAAATACTTCTCAGGAGAGTCTTAAAACAAGATTTTTCACATGCCTGGAGAGAAGTTGGGTGGCCTTTTCCAAACGCAAATGAACAGACTTAATGTCCTTAAGAGTTTCTATCCCACCCAGTTGCTAACTCCACCTCCACATCTTATGCCTTCTGATGCAGGTAAAGAGACTCCTGTTCCCCGCTCCTCCTGCAACCTTTTCTGGTTTACACAGGACTTCTTATGCACAAGTTGTTACTGCACACCCCTACTACGTAGGTGTTCCCTTATCTCCATCTGACCCAGGCCTTCCTTTCTAGCAACATCTGCCAGCCCCCAGCGATGGTCTTGACTGGGGTCCCATGCTCCCTAGACCCAGAGGGTGGTACTGGGTGCTGCATAGGCACTGCAGGAAGATCTTCAGTGCCCTCTGGTCCTCCTTAGCCTCTTCTGGTGCCCAGCACTGGAATCCTGCCACTTCAACAGCATCCCCCCCAGCACCTGGGGAAGGAGGCCTGGGCAGAGCAGCCCACATTCTGCACAATATTCTTTTATTGGTATCTGTCTTAGTTATCTAAACCCACTGCCATCAAGTCAATTCCAACTCATAGTGACCCTATAGGGCAGAATAGAACTGCCCCATATGGTTTCCAATGCTGTAAATCTTTACAGAAGCAGATTGCCACATCTTTTTCCCACAGAGTGACTGGTTGGCTCGAACCACCGACATTTTGGTTAGAAGCCAAATGTTTTAACCACAGAAAATCCACAAGTAGATGGCATTAACAAACAGAAATGTATTCTCTCATTATTTAGGAGGCTAGAAGTCCAAATTCAAGGTGCCAGCTCTAGGGGAAGGCTTTCTCTCTCTGTCAGTTCTAGGGGAAGATCCTTGTCTCCTTTCAACATCTGTGGGCCTGGCAATCCTTGGAGATTTCCATTTGTCTTGGCATCAATCTTCCCCTGGGTCTAGGAGGTTCTCAGCGCAGGGACCCTGGGTCCAAAGGACACTCTCCACTCCAGCTCTTCTTTCTTGGTGGTAGTAAGGTCCCTAATCTCTCTGCTCACTTCTCTCCTTTTATCTCTTGTAAAATAGAATGTGTGACTCAAGCAAGGGTGTGACTTGACTTAAGTAAGTGGTGACTTTAGTAAGGGTGTGACTCGAGATACATCACACACTAATCCTGCCTCATTAACATAGAAGTTTGGGATTTACAACATATAAAGTGAAGAATAGTTACACAATGCCACAAAATGAAGGACAATTACATCAGATCACAAAATGGAGGATAATTACATAATACTGGGAATCATGGCCTAGCCAAGTTGACACATATTTCTGGGGGACACAATTCAATCTATAACAGTATCCTAAGCCTACCTGATCCTGTTTCTACCTCCCCCCATCTCTCCTCCTCTCACAGGCTCTCAATTCTGGCATCTCTAAGGGCAATAATAATAATACCTACCAATAGTTTAGTGCTTATGATAGGACAGCACTGCACTGAGCATTTTCCATATATCATCTCATATAATTCTCACAGCTACCCAGTTAGGCAGGACCATTGCCCCTTTTACAGATGATGTGGCTGGGACCCAGTTCTCAAATGGCTGAGCTGGGATTTGAACCAGATCTATCTGACTTCAGAGATCCCAACTTCCCCTTCAAATCTATCTTCACCTTCCTCAGCCCCTTCTAGCTTGGGCCACACCATCTTCTAACCCTTCCTGATTTCCATCCAATCTCATATACTCCTCAGTAACCTCTGACTGATCTGATTATTGTAGATGCTGCCCCAAACATTCCTCTACCTTTACTCCCAGGGGAGGACCTTCTCCCCACATCAAAAAAACAAAGGCCACCGAAGATCCTTCCTTTGCCTTTCCTGAAGCACGAAACTGGTCGCATTCTCACCTATGCCTGTCTCAGAGGAGGAACTGCCTTGCTCCTTCCCAGCTCCACTCAGTCTTCCACCCTGCAGCCTGACCACCACCCCCACCATTCCATGAAACCACTTTCTCAAGGGCCTGTCCAGGGGCCTCCTGTAGGCCTTTCCCCTTGGGCCTATTGGCAGCTCTTCTCTTCTCCCCTCCATGTCCCTCTACCTGCAAGCCTCCCACTGATAGCCTTCCTTCCACTCAGTTCGTAAACCCAGGGGTTTACATTGTCCTGGGTTCTTGTTGTCCTCTATATCTTGTCCTTGGACAATCTTATCTGCTCCCAAGCCTTCAGCTATTAACTTTGTGTTGTGTGTCTGGTCTTAATCTCTCTGAGCCCCAAGGCCTGATTTCCATATCCGTGATATGATATTTTGCAGGAACCTCAATCTCAAAGAGCCCAAAGCCAAGGGCAGCTCCTCTTTCCCAAGACCAGTTGCTCCTCCTGGATTCTCTGCCTTGGATGACTTTCTCACCAACCCCATTCAGAGGCTGGACATCATCATTATCTCTCCTACTGCATCTCCTGATAGCTGGTCCCCAAGCTCTGATCTAACTCAGCCATGTCTCTGAAATGTGTCCTCTCCTCTCTCTACCCTCCCCAACTCCTGGGATCAGGACCCATCTTAGCCCAGCTGGAGTGTTACAACCCCCTCCTCACTCTTTCCCTGCCGTCCAGGCTTGTCTTACTCCAGTTCACTTTCCACATAGCAGCCAGGATGATTGTCCTGTAAAACAGACCTGGCCTAGACCCTCTCTCCTTCCATGGCTCCCTGGTATTGACTTGATTAAGCTTCACAGTATAGCTGTTTACCATGTGACCAGCTGCTTCCCTACCTCTTGCACATTCTGTTACACACTGGCCATTGCTCCTGCTCTGCCATATTTGACTACCTCTCTGGATTCTTCCTTACTTCTTTGTCAATCATTTTCCAGATTCTATTGCAATAGAAGCACTATTTATTTCCTAATGGTCATAGGAGGACAACTGTTTCTGGTGGCTCTGTTAAATGTATAGATTGTTTTGCACAAAGAGGCTGCTAATGTAGGCAGTGAACACGGAGCTAATTAGGACCCCAGATGGGAGGCAGGATAAGATTTATTGAGTCTTATCAGAGTAGAAAGAAGCAGTCCTAGCCCTGTTTCCCTACTTCAAGAGCAGCTTTCCTTCCATATTCCCAATGTCAGTGTCCCTACTACCTACAGACCCCGACAGAGATAGTCAGAAATGACTTCCAAAGTTGGAGGACATGAGAGAGAGGGCATGTGGGAAGCAGTTGGCAACTTTTAAAATGTACAAGTTAGGGTTGTTTGTGTTCACAATATTCTGGCTTTGCAAGACTATTTTGATGCTAAAGAGAGTCTGGAAAATCTGGGTCTGCATGGTCCTGAAGGAGATGTTAGGCGGTGGGAGGAAACTGGAAGAACAAGGAGAAAAGTGACTTACTTGAGTTTCGATTAAAGGGGTGCTCTAGGGTGCTCCAGGGTGAGGTCTGTGAGCCCAGTGTGGCTCTGACTCGGAGGTTGTACCACACAGTAGCAGTGATGTCATCAGTGACATCACACTCAGTACTTTTGGTGGGCGAGCACCAGTGGCTGGGGATCCAGAGGTGGCTCAGGTACAGGCTTTCATACTCCCTAGCCAAGAAGAGAGCACAGCGTCACACCAGCCCCTCCTACCCAGCCTCAATGATGGCTGTAAGAAACTGCCTTCATTCTCTTACTTTGGGTGGTTCAGCAAAATAATCATTTGCTCTGCACGCCAGTTCCTCCACTCTCCAACTATTCATTCTCCCTTACTCCTACTATTACCAGACAAGGAAAACCTAGGCATAAACTTCAGTCTGTCCAGATCTCTCCATCTCCATTGCCACTGCCCTAATGTCAGCCACCATCATCCCTCACCTTGCTGTGTTCTCCAAACTGGCCTCCCAGGTCCCGCACCTGCCATTCTTCAAACCATTCAGCACTCAGTAGCTCATGGCATTTCTCTCCTTAATGGCTTTCCACAGCAGTTAGACTGGAATCCAAACTCTTTCCCATGGCCTACAAGGCTCTGGCCTCCTCTACCCCACTTCCCCTAAGTATAATGTTCCTGCCATACTGGCCTCCTCACCATTCCTCCAACATGCCGGGCTTTTTTTGCCTTAGGAACTTTGCACTAGCTGTTCACTCTGTCTCAAATGCTCTGCTCCCACTGTTCACAAGGCTGGCTCCTTGTGTCCTATAGATATCAGCTTAACTATCATCTCCTCAGAGAGGCCTTCCCTGACCACCCAATGTTAAGGAGTCACAGAGTCAACTCTATCACATCACCCTTTAGCTTCTTGCTAACACTGATCACTATCTGAAATTAATCTAGAGCAGTGGTGCCCAAAAGAATTTTCTATGGGGATAGAAATGTTCTATATTTGCTTTGTCCAATATGGTAGCCACTAGCCATATGTGGCTATTGAGCACTTGAAATGTGGCTAATGTATCTGGGAACAAAAAAATTTTTATTTTATTTTAATTAATTTACATTAGTTAATTAAAGTGGCTACCACATTGGACAACGCAGATCTAGTGTATTTATTTCTGGATCTATTTACTATTTGTCTGCTCCTCTAGATGTAAGCTCCCTATATCCAGGAACTTTGTCTGCTGTACCCCTGAGCCCAGAAGAATGCCTACACACACAGGTGCTCAGTTTGTGTTTATCGTTAATGAAATATACTGAGCATATTTTGTGTCCCTGTCACTCTCCAACAGCTCCAAGAGCCTGGACACCTGGAGAAGAATCAAGCCCACCTGGCCCTGGGACCAGCTGACCTTTAGGGTCACATAGTTTGGCTCCTAGGTGCAAGCTCATAGTCAGGAAAATGGACATCCCCCTCTCCACCCCGAAAGTATCTGAGTCTCCAGTGATGTCCCCATCTCAAGTGAGAGCCAAACTCATTTCTTAAGATTTTCTTCAGCATTGGGCAGCTAACTCGCTGTTGAAAAGAATCCCCACCAAAATGTGTTTATAAACATTTGTGTTTCCAGAGAGTTCACTGTTAAATCCAGAGGAAAATTTCCCATGCCTCTTCAAGTCTCCCAATGCCCATACAGACAGAGGGTGTGGATCATTGTAGATATTCTATCCCCGGGTTCGCAAAGTCTCCCTGAGTCCAGGGTAAGGGCCTCCAGGAACCAACTGTTATCTAAGGGAAAACAATTTTTAAAAAAACTTACCCCTGGTACTCAACAGAATAGTATATTGTTTCTCCAGGCACAATCACTGGGTTCCACATCAAGAGATGCTTCATGTTGGTTGAGTGTACAGAGAGGTCCTGAGGGGCAGGCAGAACAGCCACTGTATCTGGGATCGAGAGGCAGACAGACAGGCTGACATGTAGGTTCAGATTGAGGGAATGTCACAACTTCAGATTACTGTCTAATGAAAGGTTGTTTATGAACCAGAAACAACCCTAATTTCATCACACGTGTGCTATGCTAAGCTTTTGTTATCATCTTCATTGTAATTCTGGCTTTGGTAATGATAAAGCAATGGCATATTAATATTAATAAAAATATCTGCTAAAATTTGTTGAGCACTTACCGTGTTCCATCTAGACCATGGGCTACACTGTTACACAATTACCTCATTCCTTATAACCATGCTGGAAGGTAAGGACTATTATTCTCTCCATTGGACAAATGAGGAAACTGAGGCACATTGTTTATGACTCTTATGTCATACTGACCTGCATCCAGGCCTTGACTCTGCCACTTACTATGTGACCTTAAGCAAGCTGCATAAACCTGAGCCTCCTACCCTACACAGGCTCCTGCCAGCTTCTCATCATCTCCCTCTCCTTCCACTGCCATCCTCGGGTACCAACACACATTCCTTCATGTCCCCCAACAAGGCTGAATAGGTCATCAGCTACCAGCTGGGAGGCATGGGCTCAGGCTCGCTGTGGAGGGAGCACAGTCAAGAAGGGCACTGAGCCTTTTAGGAGACTGTCGGGGAAGACTGCAGGAGCACAGGCATCTGCTTTATAAGTGCACATATTGTGCCCAGAGTATGCACACAATGGGTCTACAGTTTGCACACAGAATGAAAGAGGCCTGTGAAGCCAAATCTACTCTCACAAGGAGTTTGGGCAGCCCCGGGCTCATTCTTCCAACCAGCCTCAGGGGGCAGTCTGGCCCCTCTCCATGGTTCTTCTCTGTCCTTTTTCACACACTCCTCTTCTTATATCTAACACCTGCCTCCCTTTGCTGTTACCGTCACAGTGATAACATTGACAGCACCCTATGTCATGGGGCTGCAGCCCTCTCCCCAGGGCCTTTCATCTCCAACTCTGTCTCCAGATTGGCACCTGCTGCTCGTTATCAGGCCCTGCAACCTTGAGGGGATGGGTGGCTGCTGGCGACACCCCTCCTGACTCCCCTGCCTCTATTCTAATGCAGGACCCTGGTGGCGTACCTCCATCTTGCCCTCAGCATCTGTAGGCCTGCGTGTGAGGAAACACTTGGGGCACCTACAAGGGAGTCTTCCTGCCTTCTCCAACCCTAACCTCACAATCACCCAAAGGATGGAAAGGGAAAGGGCCAGCTGGGGTGTGGTGTGGCATGGGAGGATTGGGTACGGGCCTCCCTGTAGTAAAGAGGTCATTCTTCCTCTACTAAAGTATGCAAAACATTTCTCTCAAGCAGCTATTTGGGAAGTGTGAAGCTATTAAAGCATAAGGGATCCTGGCTCCTGACCAGATACCCAGCCCAGTCAAGGCATGCAGAGCAATCACAGAGCCCGGCCCTTTTTCCAATTCCACAGGCCTCGGCTGAGACCCTTGAATCCTCTGATTTTCTCTCCCAGCTCATTCCATACCTGGCTACAGTCTATCTCCTTTCCCTTTCAAGTGGACTGAGGGAGCTGCCCCAGCCAAATTACTGGTCCCTTCCTCTCCTGCTCCCTCCTAACTGCAAACACCAAAGATCCTCTCCACTATCACTCCTCCAGGTGCCAGCCTCACTTTGCTTCCCCAGCTGCTCTCCTCCAGCCTTGAACTTGGCTCCATGTCTCCTGAGTGGGGCCTGGGACACAGGATAATTTGCCTCCTTCCCTTCCACAAGTTATTTTTTATTTACTGCAACTTCCTTGGCCCCTAAATTCTTCAACCTCTGCGGCATACCCTGTGCTCCCCCAAGAGGTCACAACTCTGCCACCTTTCCATCCCACTTCAGATATCTGATTCTTCCTTTGCAGGGCTGTGGTGAGGATCATCACAGCCATGCATATAAAATGACAGGCACAAATCCTGTAAGAGACACCTTGATGCCATCCTACCTTTCCTCAAGCTACCCCAAGACAGTAACAAACCAGGGCTGTTACCCCCAGCCTGGTACTTTAAGGAGTTCCATGCTATTGGGACTGGGCAGAGAAGGTAGACAGGGCAGGGAGGGTATCATTCTAAAAGTGCTTTAAGGCTGTATGGAGACAGCAAGCAGCCTAGCAGAATGAGGCTGAGAACATGCTAGGCTGAGGCCTAGCACTGAACATGCTCTCAAGAGCCAGCAGCAGGAGCTTTGAAAGGAAGATACAATCAATAAGACAGGATGGCAGGATATGTCTCTATTTTTTTTTATAAATTTGTATTATAAAAATTTCAAACATATTCAAAAGCAGAGAGGCTAATATAAGAATGCCTATGTACCCTGGTAGTGAAGTGTTTAAGAGCTTGGCTGTTAACTAAAAGACCAACAGTTTGAATCCACAAGCCACTCCTTGGAAACCCTATGGGGCAGTTCTACTGTGTCCTATACGGTTGCTGTGAGTCAGAATTGACTCTACCTCAACAGGTATATACGCCTATAGGAGCCCTGGTGGCACAGTGGTTAAGAGCACAGCTGTGAATGAAAAGGTCGGCAGTTCAGATCCACCAGCCACTCCTTGGAAATCCTGTGGCAGTTCTACCCTGTCCTATAGGGTCACTGTAAATTAGAATGGACGCAACAGCAACCTTTTTTTTTTTGTTTGTTTATGTGCCCATAAGGAGCCCTGGTGGTGCAGTGGTTAAAGTGCTCACCTGGAGAATTCTATCATTTAAAAAAGAATTAACACCAATTTTCACAATATCTTCCAGGAAATAGAAGAGGCGGGGGCACTTTTGAACTTACTTTATGAGGCCATTATTACCTTGATGTCAAAAGTAGATAAAGAAAATATTAAAAAAATAAAACCACAGACTGGTATCTCTCATAAACTCAGACACAAAAATCTTACAAAATATTAGCAAACTGAATCCAACAATGCATAAAAGGAATTATACACCATGGCCAAGTGAGATTTATTCCAGGTATGCAAAGCTGGTTCAACATTTGAAAATCAATTAATGTAATACACCATATCAACAAGTTAAAGAAAAAAACTGTACGATCAAACCAATTTACATGGAAAAAAATCATTTTACAAAATCTACTCAATGGCAACAGTTTTTTTAAAATATCATTTTACGAATTAAAAAAAACTCTCATCAAGCTAAGAATAGAGAATTACCTCAACTTGATAAAGTGCATCTACAAAAATCCTATAGCTAACATCATACTTGATAGTGAAAAACTGAATGTTTTCCCTCTAGACAGGGAATAAGGCAAGGATGTCCACTCTCGCCATTCTTATTTGACATAGTACTTGAAGTTCTAGCCAGTGCAGTAAGGCAAGAAAAAGAAGTAAAAAGGCATACAGACTGCAAAGGAAAAAATAAAACTGTCCCTATTTTCAGATGACATGTCTACAAACCATGAGATCCCAAGGAGTCTATAAAAAACTCCTAAAATGATTAAATGGGTTCAGCAAGATCACAGGATACAACATAAATATAAAAAATGAATTGTATATCTATAAATTAGTAATGAAAACATGTGCACAAATTTAAAGTATAATATCATTAACAATCACTGAAAAGAATGAAATACTTAGGTGTAAATCTAACAAAACATATACAGAACTTGTGTACTGAAAACTATGCAATGCTGATGAAAGAAATCAAAGAAGATCTAAATAAATAGAGAGACATACTGTGTTCATGGATTGGAAGACCCAACATAGCAAAGATGTAAACTGTCCCCAAATTGATACACAGGCTTAATGCAATTTCTTTCAAGATCCCAGCAAGGTTTTTTGTAGGTATAGATAAGCTTTTTCTGAAATGCTTATGAAAAGATGAAACCAGGATAGCTAAAACAATTTTGAAAAAGAAGACTAACACGGAAGGAATCTGTCTTCCAAATTTCAAGACTGATAGTAATCAAGACTGTAATATTGTCAAAGTGACAGACACACAGATCAATGGAACAGAATAGAGATCTCAGAAATATACCACACGAACATGGTCAGCTGATTTTTGACCAAGGTGCAAAAGTCAGTTCAATGGAGGAAGGATATGTTTTTCAACAAATAATATTGTAGCAAATGGATATCCATAAGCAAAAACAAACAAACAAAAATGAACCTCAACCTAAAACTCACACCTTATGCAAGTATTAACTCAAAATGAATCATAGACTTAATGTAGAATATAAAAATATAAAACTTTTAGAAGGAAATATAGGGCAAAACTCTTCAAAGCTAGGCAGAGTTCTTAGAATTGACATCAAAAGCAAGATTCATAAAAGGAAATACTGATAATTTGAACTTCATCAAAATTAAAAATTTTTTTGCCCTGTGAAAGACTCTGTTAAGAGGATAAGAAGGCAAGCTACAGACTGGGAGAAAATGTTTGCAAACCCCATTATCTGACAAAAGATTAGTGTCTAGGATATAAAGTAATCTCCAAGCTCAACAGTAAAAAAGCATAAAATTCAATTACAAAATGGGCAAAAGACATAAAGAAACATTTCAATGAAGAGGACACACAAATGGCAAATGAGCACATGAAAAAGTGTTCAACATCTTTAGCTATTAGGAAAATGCAAATTAAAACCAGAATGAGATGTCACTATAGACTTAACAGAATGCCTAAAATAAGAGTGACAACACCAAACATTGGTGAGGATGCAAAGAAACAGGATCACTCATACATTGCTGATGGGAATATAAAATGGTACAGCCACTCTGGAAAAGTTTGGCAGTTTCTCGAAAATTTAAACATGCATTTACCATATGATCCAGCAATTGCACTCTTGGGCATTTATCCCAAAGAAATGAAAATTTATATCACACAAAATCTGCCCATGAATGTTCACACCAGCTTTATTTATAAAAGTCAAACTGGAATTAGCCCAGATGTTCAACAGGTGAATGGTTAAACAAAATTCATACTGCAGAATACTATTACTCAGCAATAAAAAAGGAACAGCTTGCATGAATCTCC